AGCGTCATCATCGGGTTGACAGGCGGCTCTGAGGAAGCCATTCATCCGTAACCCTAACCGTCGGTGCCGGCTGTTGCAGGAAGATCTGACACGCTAATCCCACTTGTCTCCCATAAGCTCACACATACTCACTTACTCTCACCCGGTAATGACAAACGACCGATGAGTTTGATCAGGTGAAAAGATTTTCTGATTTCTGGTATGATCGAAGATTGTTTAATAAGATTTCTCAGTCACAGCCAAAGCTTCTTGCAGCGTGTGCATTATGTCTGTCATTTCTAGCGTCATGATTAATGGAACGTTTCGATGAGCCGGGGATAAATAGTCGTAAATCCCCTTCCTCTGTGTACATGTGTGTGTGTGTGTGTGTGTGTGTGTGTGTGTGTGTGTGTGTGTGTGTGTGTGTGTGTGTGTGTGTGTGTGTGTGTGTGTGTGCACCTTTAAGATAACCTCTGTTCAATCACTATATTAAGTACCTATGTGATTATTCGTCCATCTGGTGGACATATTAACTTTCTGCGTACACTTGAGGTTGTCCACGAGGCATCTTTAAAAAGTTTTCGATTTACGAACTATGAATAACATGTGTCTATATCATGTCCATTTTTAAACTGATTTGTGCAGAAGTTTTGTGTAAATACGTGACCGATACTGTTGTAAGAATGTGTGTAAACAAAATTTATCACTTATTTCTTGTCTTTTCATAATAAAATACAAAAAGTCAATATTAAAGAGCTCATTTTTTTTTCTTTTTCTTGATGGTTATTTATCTTATAACGCAAAACTTTATCTGTTGACATTTGTCTACACAGGTAACGAACGTGTGATACAGATTCAAACAAGCGTTAATAGTGAAAATATCATCATCATCATCATCATCATCATCATCATCATCATCATCATCATCATCATCATCATCATCATAATTCCATTCAGTCCTCTGGTAGGATGCTCTTGAAAAAGCTATGTTACCCTGATCTCTCCCCGTCACACATCTGTTTAGGTTCTCCATGTAGATCGCTCTGGGCCTACCACTGCCTGTTTTGCCTTCAGTTTCGCCAGTGAGAGCTAGATGCCCAAGAGAGAAACTATAGACTCGTACTTATATTATCAAAGAGTGCGTTCTGACATAGCTCCAGTTCATCATGGAGCTCAAGATTTGACTCTGTTTGGAACCAATTGAAGAACAAGGCGAGAAAGTCTGCGAGCGCACATAACTAGAGCGAGGCTTGTGTTTGGTCCTCCATCTGTGCCCCCGTGCCGAGCATCAGTGCAGCACAGTTTCTATAGAGAGTAAAGAACATAGACCCACCCCTGGGCGCTCATATGACCTTGTGCAGTTGCGAATGCCGTAAAACCCTCTACTATTAAACAAAGAGTACAGAGAGTTGGTCATGACATGACAGTGCCCGGTCTAGGATTATTGTAAAAAATCATTATGTCTCTGTGGCTTTTTGATCTTCCGTTCTCGTGGTTTCCTGGTTGACCTTTCAACTTTGTATTGTTGAATATGCGATATGAATTGGAATAAGCGTCTGAGTTGAAACAGTAACACTTCTCTTTTCTCTCCTTTGTACACACTAGAAGCGAATTCAAAACTCGAATCACCATTTTATCTCGTATCTTATCTCTTCGTTCATTAAATGTATTCCATGTTAATCCTAACAGGCGTGTTTCTAACTATCTTGTTGATCAAGACTGGTGGACAAGAGTGTTATGTTTCTTTGTTTGCTTCTTTGTTTGTCTTTTTAAAATCTACATTATGCTAACATCTGCGTACAGAGTTCTGTCTGAAAAGTTTAGAGGACCAACTCTCAAAATCTGTCTCGATCCGATCATGTTGACAACATTTGTGTACAAAATTATGTTTGAAGGCGCTTTATCTTTTTGCCGGAAAACTAGGGCTTCTTCCACTAGATTGTAGAAAACTATTACTCTGAAATATTTATATTTTTTTAAAATTAATTAATTTATAAACAACAACATCGAATTGTTCAATGGGCTCTGAATATATATATTTTTTAAAACTAATTTAAAAATTCGTCAAACTTACTCGACTCAGTCAGGTCCGATTCGTTCTGGATAGACAAATAAAACTGTTTGCCACTTACAGATAATAGTTTGTTGAATCTGAAACCCTATTGTTAATGGCAAAATTTCTTAAGACTGTTTAGAGAACTATTTTACCTTTAAACCATTTTTTAAATTCCTTTTATCGCCTGTCAGTTTCTAACATTTTATTTTCTACCTCGTGGTTGAAGACATAAAAATAATATTCTGACTCAGGGGAAGCAATCACTGTTAAAGCTCAGACTGTAGTGTGTACCAGAGTTGCGTCCCTCTTATTACCAACAAAATTAATGTTACACAAGACCAAAGGCTACGCCGCATGCACGTGCTCACACACACACACACACA